GTTGATTATATATATAGTACAATTAGAAAATTTGGTCAATTTTGAAAAACAAAGAGATTAGTAAAAGAAAAAAAAGTGTTTGGTAATGACAGAAATCGACAGCAAAAAGAAAAAAGAAAAAATATAAAGACGAAGACGAACGATTTGGCACGATGACGCGCTCACCATCGCTCGAGATCGTACGTGTAAGGCGCTTTGTGTCGTTTGGAATGTTCAACTCACGCAATCAACGGTCCAAAACCACAACTTTTCTATCCCAACATTTCAACTTAATCATTGCTATAAATTATTGTCCATTGTTTTGTCGTTCTGCACTGCTTCATTATTTACACATGTGGAAACCAAAGAGAGACCTGAAGGAAGACCATATCAAATGAGGAATCAGGTACGGGGAAAGCCAAAAAAAACTTCCCTTTTTTCCAACCATTTCTGCAATTTGTTCATCTTCTTGTATAGAGTTAACTAATATTGGTCATATGTTATGTGATCAGGAACGTAAAGTAACCGGTTCATGGCGAAGATGGAAGAGCGCGCCTATGTTAGAGATGGCAGCGTTAGGCGAGGAACAATCAAGGTTGGAGGGACAAAAGGAAGTGAAACAGCACTTAAAAAGATCAGAGTAGAATCTGCACAGCTGAGAGAGGAAACTAACCTCCTCCTCCAGCATAACTTTACGGGTAGGCTGAAGGCATAATCTAACTTCCGCGGCTCCATCTAAAATATTGCTAACAATTAATAGATTTAAATCAGTCTATAAGTTGATATTTTCAAGTGTCATAGCTAAATTTTTTTTTTTTGAACAACTTGAAATTATTTACAGGGTTAATTGGAAGAAAGAGAATCCGTGAAAACAGGGTTAATTGGGAGAAAAAAAATCTGTGAAATTCGAACGTACAACTTACCGAAAGTGAACAGTTTTAATCCAGGTTCAATGTAACTGACCCTCAAGTGTTATAGCTAAATATTTATTAAAAAAATTAAAAAGTCAATATTTATGTTATCAAAACACTTTAATGTATGACCATAGCCACACGCAAACAATACATGTTCCATCAAATGCTTGAGAGAGTATAAATGTGTTGATAGGGGTGGAAACAGAAAGCAAAACTGATATTTGACTAAGGCTATGTTTAGTATAATTGTGCTTTTGAGTTTTTAATTTTGATTTTAAAAATTTAAACAATCAAAATTAACAATTAAAAATCAAAATTAAAAATTAAAATTATCAACTTATTAGGTATAGAATTTGAAAACAAATATTTAAAATTTTAAACATAATTAATTTATAAACTACCTGATTTTATTTTAGAATTTTTAATTTTTTAAAAATTAAAATAAAAAACTCAAAATTACAATTATATTAAACGAGTTAAAAAAAATTTGGATTTAATTTTCAACGCCGAAAACCATATTTGACTAACCATAATTTTTGGATTTGAAGATCGAAACTAAAACATAAATGATTTTTGGGTTTGGTTATTTAAGATTCCATTTAAGACCCGGTTGGTATAGTGGTTTTGGAGTAGCGATTAGCGGTTTTAGGTTAAACCGCTAAATATAAGTGTTTGGTAATTTATATATTTCGAAACTGTTATAAATAAAGTGTTTAGTAAAATTTTTATTTAATGGTTTAAGACTAGCGGATAACGATTAGGATCTAAATTACTAGCGGATTGAAAAAATTAGTTTATGTAACTTTTTGTACCAAATTGTTAGCGGATTAAAATTTTTAAAGTTTATTGACAAATTTATCTATTTTAATTTTTTAATTTGTGGTCACATTTTTTAATTAATAATTATCTAATAAATTTCAATTTTGTTTTTTTACTTTTAATAACATTAAGT